AAAAAATAAATCATTGTAAGCTAGTTAGGGAGCTCCAGATGTGTGCTGGGAGGAGGCTGTCCCTGCATTGTGAATGGTCAGGGAAGAGCTCTCTGATAAAATGAAATTTCAGGACAGACATGAAGGAAGTGAAAAGGAGAGAGCCATGCTGCTGCTATCTTGGGAAAAAGAGTTCTAGGCAGAAGGAACAGCAAGTGCAAAGGCCCTGAGGCAAGAGGATTCAAGTGCAAATCATGCAGGGCCTTGTATGCCTTTGAAAGGATTTTGGATTTTACTATGTTGACAAAAGGAAGTCATTGGAGGATTCTGAGGGGAAGAATGTCAGGATGTCACTCAAATGTTTAACAATCCACTCTGACTTCAATACAGTAAGTGAGCAATGTGGGAATCTGAGACATTAAGAGGCTCTTGCAGTAGTCTTCATGAGAGAAGATGAGGTTTGACTGGGGTGGTACTAGTGGAGGGGCTTAGAAGTGATTGAATCCTGATAAAATTTGAAGCCAAAGCTGGCAGGACTTCTGAGGGACTGGGTGTGGTGTAACAGGTGAGAGTGAGAGAGGAGTTAAGAATTACTGCAAGGTTTCAGGCCTGAGCAGACTGGATTTCTGTCTATTGCAACAGGGAAATCGCAGCACAAGCAGACTGAGGGGTAGACGCAAGGAGCTTCATTTGGGGCAGCAAGTTACATATTTGAGTCTGGAGTTCTGGGGAGATGTCTGAACCCAGGAGGTAAATATGGCAAGTCTCAGGATACAAATAGTTTTTAAAGCCAAGAGACATGAGGAGATGGCCAGAGGAGTGAGTACAGGCAGAGCTGAGCCCTGGAGCACTCCAATATTTCATGCTCTGGGCAAAGAGGAGAAACCAGCAGAGGGGTTTGATAAGGAACAGTCGGTGGATAGGAGGAAAACGAGGAAAGAACTTATCCCAGAAGCCAAGTGAAGAAAGTATCTCAAAAGAAAGTGACAGGTCTCTTTCATCACTACATGCCCCTGACAGGGTCAAGAAAGATGAGGATTGAGAAGCGATCACTGGATGTGGCATGCAGGGTACTGGAGACACTGGCAAGAGCAGTTTCAGGTCATGCTGGACCCCCCTGCCCCCACCCCAAAACAAGATTGGAAAGAGAAGGAATGTTTATGAGAGGTTTCCCTGTAAAGGTTGAAAAATTGAGCAACAGCCAGAAAGAGAAGTCAAGAGAGGGCTTTTTTTAAAGGAAGGAACAAATTGCAGCACTTTTACACTCAGAAATGAGCCAATAGAGCGGGAAGACATGATTATCCAGGCAAAAGCGGGTGGGGATTGTTGGGGTCAAAGTCCTGGAGGAGAGGACAGTGATGGGCCCAGTGCACATCAGCAAGGGGAATGGGACGGGGTGATTTGCAGTGGTAGGTGGAAGCCAAGGGGGTGACATGACTCAGTGAGGTGGGGCAGAGGGGCACCTGGAAGCCCTCTCTGTTCTCTTCTCTTTATTCAGTGAAATGAGAGCCAAGGTCAAGGGCAGAGAGTGAGGAGGGGCAGGAGGGGAGAGGAGAAGCTGTGGAAGAGTCCTTCCAACGAGGGTCACCCTTCTCCAAGGACACAGTAAAGCCAGGGTTCTGCAGACAGAGTGGTCTGGCATCTTTCCTTTTTCCGCTGGTGCTTAGCTTTCCACCAGTCCTGGGTCTGCAGGCATTGCTGGGGCACAGAAAGTCTGCTCAGTGCCAACCCTTCCCTTACATCAAGGCCAGCTTCATATATATACCGTGTTTCCACGAAAATAAGACCTACCCATAAAATAAGCCCTAGCAGCATTTCTAGCATTTGTGCAGTATAAGTCCTACCCCGAAAATGAGACTTAGTGATGGGTGTGGCTACGCAGCATGTCTACACAAGCCATGCATTTTGTCACAGAGCGGTAAAGAAGACGAGCAGCCAGCCCTTCTCACCTGCCCCATGAGAGCTCTATTGCTCGACATGAGAGATTGGGGCCAATGGTTCTAAAGGAAATAGAGTCGCAAGAAATTCAGGATGGAATTTGGGGGTTGGAGAGTTATGATGATGTTCCAGAAGAAGACAATTTAGCTATATTTGAATTAATGTAGATTGTTGTACCATACTTAAAAAAAATAACACATCCCCTGAAAGTAAGCCCTTTCTTTCTTGAGGAACAAGAAATGTCTTCTTGAGGAACAACAAATATAAGACCCTGTCTTATTTTCGGGGAAACACAGTACTCAGTGAGAAGAACGACCTTTCGTTGATTTCAAAATCCCTGACTTCTTCATTATTCTTTTTTCAGTCAGGGATCCATCACAGCCAAGATGAATCCCAAGGAAGAGAAAGTAAAAATAATTACAGAGGTAAGTGGCAGCTTAGCTGCTCCTGGGGAAGTGTTCGTGCATGCATGCTCATGTAACACGTGTTTGGGAACCAGGTGGGCCAGCAACCAGCATTTATTGCACATATGAAGAGGAAAAACTTTAGACAAACTAAATTCAACAAAGTTTCATTGGGCAAAGAATGATTTGTGAATCGGACAGCCCTCAGAACCGGAGGAGGTTCAGAGAGCTCTGCTCTGCAGTGTCTACAGGTGGAGAATGGAAGTGAGATTCAAGAACAGCTTGATTGTTAGAGTCAGTGTTGCCGTATTTGAACACGATCTGATGACTCGACTACCTGTGACTGACAGAAGCTCAGCTGCTGTGATAAGCTGAGACCCAGCTATGTGCTACAAAAGTATACTCCTAAGTTAGGCTTTCAGTTACTCTCCTAAGTTAGGTTGCAGTTTGTTGTGTAAGGACTCAAAGTATAGCCGCATCCTCAGGTCAAGTTTAGTTTAATTGTACACATACCTATGAAATGCACATGGACGGTGCTATGTCAGGCATGTGGGGAGGTATGGGGGGTGTTTGGTGAGGGGCAACCTTTCAGGCACTCCAAGCTTACCTCTACCTGAATGCTCTGAAGCCGTTCTGTCACCATTTCATGAATTCCAACACATGGTAGCTCTAAGTTACCGCCTATAACTAGTCCCAGCTCTGCCTGAAGCACACGGATTTCTAAAGCAATTCAGAATGAAGATAACCATTGTAGATCATAACTGCTAATACAATCCTCTGTCCGTGGAGTCCTGCTATTTCTAACTCACTGTGTACAAAAACTCATAAAAGCAATGCCCAAACCAGAGGAGAGAGGCTGTCTACAATTTAGAGACTGAAGACACTGAATAGAAGAGAGACTTCTCCCTAGGCTAAAGGGTTCACCAGCTTGAGACCACGGAGGCAGAAATAGAGACAGAAATAGAGATGATATGCTGTTTCCAATGTAGTGCTTCAAAAAGCCTGAGGGAACTCGTTATAAAACCATGCAGATTAGCTTTAAGCAAGATATCAAGTACTGGCAAACTACATAAATCTTTATTTGCTTATTCATTCATGCAGCAGATATGTTTGGTGCTTCCAGTCCCTGAACAAAACCCCGTGCCCTCATGGAATTTACATGCTATCTCATTGGAAGTCCTATGGGAGAGGTTTCCTATTGCTCAAGGGGAAAAACATTACTGGAAAGCAAAAGATGACCTAGATTTCTCATAAGTCCGTTCTAAGCCAATGAAAACTTAGAATCGAATTAAGAGCCATACATACACATACTTGCACACCTCAATATTTTTATTATCTTGTAGCCTAGATTGGTGAATCCCTGAGCTAAGAACACTCACAATCTGGTGGACCCTGAAGAAGGCCAGAATGAGGATGGTGCTTCTACTCAGAGGATGAGCTGAGAGGTCGGGCCACATGCACCAAGGAAAAGCCCAAACCAAGCCCACACTCTGGTTGGGACCTCAGTTCCCTGCTCTGTAATTGAACTCCCCATCTTCCCTAACCCCAATGGCCAAGGGGAGTAAGGAGTAGCTACAGTCTGGTCCAGCAACCTGCATGACATTTCTTTGAAAGCTTTAAAATACATGCTTTATGTATCTTTAAAATCCATGCTTTATGTTCCAATTTTGTTTCAGCATAAAAACAAAACATTTCTAATTTTAGGGGGGAAAAACCAGTCTAATAAATTTGCTGTGCCAGGGAGAGCTTCTGTGTATATTTTGCAACTTCTTATTCACCCTGAAACACTTGCACCCCAGTTATAAAATTCTAGGGCTAGAAAATTTTAGAGCTTGAAGACTTTAGAGCTTTCAGCTCTAACATCTTATGACTAAAACATTAGAAAGTGCAATGTGGAAAAAAAAAATGAAGTGTGCACTGTTAAAGGATTATTTCCTTTCCAAAAATATCTGCCAGCATTTCCTCTTAAATTGAAACTTTCATGGTGATTTGACATGTATCATCATTGTGCCTTACTTGCTGGTAAGGCTATGAAGCAGAAAACCCTAACTTGTGAAATCCCAACGATGATTCCGGTGACTGTCCCAGGTTATGGTCCTCCATCTGTCCTGGCAGAATCACTTGTTAGTCATTTTTTCTTAGAATGTGACTTTTGAGAGCAGTGCAGCATGATGTAGTCATCTCTGCGTCCCTAGGGCCTGGAACACAGTAAGTGCTCAATAAATGTTGTTTGCATGAACCAGGACCTAAAAAAAAAAGGCAGCTCCAACATCATCTCATTTATGATGTTTCAGTTTAGACACAGCTTTTCAAGAACATGTCTATTTTGAGAAGAATGGGTGGTGATGGCTGCTTAGATTGCATCCATGGTCCGTCACTTGAGCTCTGTTAGCAGATGGAGGCCCAGGGGCAAGATGGTGATTTTAATCTGATACCTAAAAGTCATACCCTCTTCCTCTCTTAAGATTCTCTCCCTCTTCCATTTGCCTTTTAACAAAGGAGTTCATTGAAAATGATGAGGATGCAAATGTGGGAAAGCGGAAGAAGAATTCAAAGGTGCAAAGACAGCCAAGAAAGAAACAGGTAGGAAGGGACAAGAACTGTGTCTGTGTATTGTGTCATTGATCAACAACTGCCTGCACCCCGGGTGGCCACACAGAATCCACCAAGGGAAGGTCACTCCTGCGGGTACCAGTCTGGCCTGCTCTGGAGGACTGTGAGGCAGGGGGGGCAGACGGGTGGTCCAGAGTGTAGGACTCTGGTGCGGGGGCTCATAGATTCTCCTCACAGGAAGAAGCTGGGGTCCCTGCTTGGAGCATTTTTCCTCTAAGTTTTCTCCTGTTTCCCCAAGAGAGTTCTCATTGAAGGCCATGAACTACAATAGGCAGTAGATGGCAGTACAGGATTACAAATCTTGGAGAACTCCCTCCCTTTCCAACTCCAAGCCTGAATTCCGTCTTAGTCTAAAGCCAGAGGCCAGCTCCTCCCCCGCCTCTCGGCAGGAGTTCCCCTCTAGGTTGGGAGCATCTCACGTGGGGAAAGGGGAACCTTTTTGAGGTAAGCCAATTCCCTTTGTGAGGAGACGTTATCTTCTGAGCAGGGAGGCAGGGAAGCAGCTCTTGTGGACTGGCAATTTGCTTGGAACACTCGAGATGCCAGCAGGAAAGAGGAGGGTGGGAAGCGCCATTTTGAGCCAGCAGTCACGTGTAGGGGCTGCTTGCAGAGAGGGGTGGCCAGAGGAGGAGGGTGCTGGGAGGGAGAGTCCAATGTGGGGAAACCTCCCTCCCAGCTGCCCCTTTGCCCAGCACACTCCCGTTGGCGTGAGCCGGGGAGAGGAGTGGCCTTCAGCCTTTCCTGCAGGCTGGGATGGAGCCGCCCAGGGGGTGGAGAGTCACTGCCCGGCCACGTGGGCCAGGCTCTCCTGCCACTCTTGGAGACTGGGAGAGTCCCACAGCCAGACTCATGCTGCAGCTTTAACCCCTTCCTGCAGGGTCAGTATGTGGCTCTGCAACCCAGGGCAAGGGACCACTGAGGCAGCAGATGAAAAGGGTCAAGCCCTGAGCTGTAGAGTCACAGGCACAGGGAGCAGCAAGTGACCTGGGCTTAGACTGAACAGGCAGAAAGGGGAGAAGGGAGTAGAATAGCTCTCCGTTGCTGAGCACTTAGGGGCCAGGCTTGGAACTTTACAGGCATCATCCCTATTGGGGCATGGCAAGAAATCTAGTTCAGCCTTTTTTAACCCCTGCTGCAATTCAGAATCACCTAGGGAATACTTAAAGATGCCTTTAATAAGGCACACCCGAGGCCAGCTATTTAAGCCAGACTCCTGTGCTTTGCACAATGCCTTGTCTATACAAGCATCTCGGTGAACCAGCTCTTTTTATTTTCCTTTTCTGATGGGTGAGAAAGCAGTGTGCAAGGAAGTTAAATAACTTGCACAGAGTCCCACAGTCAGTCTGAGTTTGCAGGCAAGCCTTAGTCTGTCTAGCCCCAAAGGCATCACCGCCAACTTGGTTAACTTAACATGTTTTCTCTCCTGAGAGTTTGGGGAAGGAACCACAGGCCATTCTCGAGGGCACTCAGAGGGTGGACTCAATATTTGTCCTGTATCCTCCAGTGACACTTTCGCTGCTGTCTCCAAAGTACTTGGAGTTGGGAACAGATTGTTTGACTATGATTTTCCTCTTTCCCTTTCCTCCTAATTTCTGTAGAGCTCTATACATTTTACCTACAAAAACTGAAAATCATCATGTTCTTTTGGAATGCTTTGGTAGTTTCACAAGAAACTTCCTGGAGAAACTTGGGGTTGGCACCACATCTCTGGGGGGTGCCCACGGTGACTTGGGTGACAGGGACTACAGATCTGGGTAGTACTCGGACCGTCCCCTCCTTGGTGAACCACCATCCCAAAAAAGGAACTGAGTCCACTAAAGCCCTGTGCGTCTCTGAACCTCTGACCTTCTGCCCACAGCCGCCAACCACTGGCCCTGACAAAATGATGTTGGAAGAATCCCACCTTGGCAACCAGCAGGAGCTAGTGCAGGATGAGCCTCAGACTCGCCTCCTGAGTGTGACAGCCCGGCGGGGCCCACGCAGTAAGTGTCACTTTTTGATTCAGCTGGTACTTACCGTGTTTCCCCGAAAATAAGACCTACCCATAAAATAAGCCCTAGCAGGATATCTAAGCATATAAGCCCTACCCTGAAAATAAGACCTAGTGATGGGCGTGGCTATGCAGTGTATCTGCACAACCCATGCATTTCGTCCCGGACAGGTAAAGACGTGCAGCCCTTCTCATCTGCCCCATGAGAGCTCTATTGCTCCACATGAGAGATTGGGGCCAATGGTTCTAAAGGAAATGGAGTTGCAAGAAATTCAGGATGGAATTCGGGGTTTGAAGAGTTATGATGATGTTCCAGAAGAAGACAACTTAATTATATTTGAATAAATGTAGATTGTTGTACCGTACTAAAAAAAAATAACACATCCCCTGAAAATAAGCCCTAGGGTGTCTTCTTGAGAAAAAATAAATATAAGACCCTGTCTTATTTTCAGGGAAACACGGTATTAACTGCCTACTGTGAGATCAGCTCTGAGCAATATGAGGGGTTTCTATGGGTATTTGCCATGCCTGGCCATGGCTGCTTCACCGTACTTTGCCCTGACTCCTCTGGTGCTATTCTAGGTTAGTGTCTGCCTGGGACACAGGACACATAGCTTCGAGATATGTTTCCATAACCAGGTAGGTTAGGAAACTTATTCATTGGCATAGAAATTAAATAAGTGGAAATTCAAAGAAGGCTGGCCCAGTTAGGGAAGACATATGTCAACCAAGTGGGGCTGGAATCACATGTTTGGCAGAAAAGAGGGAGGTTCCTGACTGAGGCTTTCAGTGACCTTGCCCTTGAGAACACCTACACTTCTCCCACACACACACTCCCTTCCCTCTACCGAGACCCTTGGTCTATATATTACAGCGTTTCCTCTTCCTGGGTTCACGAACATCATTAATCCATCTGGTGAACATCATTAATTATCTGCTCAGTGTGGAGAAATAAGGCCCACTGACTTGTTTTTCATAAAAAGTAGATTAGACAGGAGGAGAAGTGTTACACTTTTCAACTGTTACATAAGTGTTACACTGTTGTTACACCATTGCCCTGTGGCAGAGCTGGGAAATAAAGTAACTATTCGACATTAGAGGACTTTGGAAGCCTGCTGATTCTTAGGTTGGAAAAATGTGGTTCCAATCTAAGAGCGATGATATAATGAGAGCTGTTACGAATTAGTAAGAACAGAACCAAAATTTATCTCATATGTCTGTTTCTTTTTCTAAATGCTCAGAATTATTTATTGTTTAAGATTACAACGTGTCATCTTGGGCTGCCATAACAAGATAGCACAGGCTGGGTGGCTTAAACAACAATGTATTTATTTTTCTTATAGTCTAGGAGGCTGGAAGTCTGGTCCGTTTTTGCCTTGGTCGCCTGTGCTTTTGAGGTCTACTCAAGAAATCTTTGCCCAGACCACTGTCCTGGGGTGTTTCCCAATGTTTTCTTAGATTCATAGTTTCACAGTTTCAGGTCTTACATTTAAGTTTTTGATCCATTTTGATTTGATTTTTTTATATGGCAAGAGATAATGGTCTAGTTTCATTCTTCTGCATATGTATATAAAGTTGTCCCAACACCACATATTGGAGAGACTATGTTCAGTGTATGTTCTTAGCACCTTTGGCAAAAGTTAGTTGACTGTAAATGTGTGGATTTATTTCTAGGTTCTCAAGTTTGCTACACTGTGTTTATTTTTATGCATTATAATGCTATTTTGGTGATTATAGCTTTGTAGTATAATTCGAAGTCAGGTAATGTGATGCCTCTGACTTAATTCTTTTTTCACAGGATTGCTTTGACTATTAGTCTTTCATGGTTCCACATACATTTTAGGATATTTTTTTATTTATGTGAAGAATGTCTTTGGTATTTTGATGGGTATTGCATTGAATCTGTAGATTGCTTTGGGTAGTATAGGCATTTTAACAATATTGATTTTTATAATCCATAAGCATTGCTTTCATCGTAGACATCTTTTACTTCTTCGGTTAAGTTTATTTGTGGGTATTTTATTTCATTTGCAACTATTGTAAATGGGATTACTTTTTTTGGTTTCTCTTTCAGGTTGTTTGCTGTTTGAAATATAGAAATGTTAATGACTTTTTATGTTAATTTTGTATCCTGCAACTTTACTGAATTCATTTATCAGTTCTAATAGATTTTTGGTAGAGTCTTTAGATTTTTCTAAATATAAGATTATATTATCTACAAACAAGGATAATTTGACTTCTTCCTTCCCAATTTGGATGCCCTTTATTTCTTTCTCTTGTCTAATTGCTCTGGCTAGGACTTCCCACACTATACTGAATAAACGTGGTGAAAGAGGGCATCCTTATCTTGTCCCAGTTCTTAGAGGAAAGGATTTCAGTTTTCCCCTGTTCAGTATGATACTAGCTGTGTGTTTGTTGTATATGGCCTTTATCATATTGAAGATATGTTCCTTCTATATCAAGTTTGTTGAGAATTTTTATCATGAAGGGATGTTGAATTTCTAATGCTTTTTGGCATCTATTGAAACGATCATATGGTTTTTGTCCTTCATTCTGTTGATGTGATGTATCACGTTTGTTGATTTGTGTCTGTTGAACCATACTTGCATCCCTGGAATAAGTCCCACTTGATCGTAATAAATATCCTTTTTAATGTGTTGTTGAATTCAGTTTGCTAGTATTTTGTTGAGGATATTTGCGTCTATGTTCTTCAGAGATCCTGGCCTATAGTTTTCTTTTTCTGTTGTGTCTTTGTCTGGTTTTGGTATTAGGGTGATACAGGCCTTGTAGAATGAGTTTGGGAGTATCGCCTCCTCCTAGATTTTTTGGAATAGTTTAAGCAAGATTGGTATTAGTTTTTCTTTGAGTGCTTAGTAGAATTCAGTAGTGAAGACATCTGGTCCTGAGCCTCCATGAGGCTTGAAAATAACATAACCAATTATTTTAAGCTGATGACAACTTAACTCTGGTTACAATGAAAAGAGAAAAAAAGCAAAAAGAAAATTTTAAAACTCTATACTTTTACTTGTATTTTTTATATTGTGTATTTCTTTACAAATATTGTAGTTATAGGTTTGTTGTTTAGTCTTCATACTCAAGATGTGAGTGGTTTACACACTATAATTATAATGTTAGAGTATTTGTCTGTGCACTTTTAACAGTGAGTTTTGGCCAGATGTAGTGGCTCACATCTGTAATCCTATCACTCTGGGAGGCCGAGGCAGGTGGATCATTCCAGGTCAAGAGTTCAAAACCAGCCTGAGCAAGAGGGAGACCCCGTCTCTACTAAAAATAGAAAGAAATTAATTGGCCAACTAAAAATATATAGAAAAAATTAGCCTGGCATGTTGGTGCATGCCCGTAGTCCCAGCTACTCGGAAGGCTGAGGCAGGAGGATCACTTGAGCCCAGGAGTTTAAGGTTGCTGTGAGCTAGGCTGACACCACAGCACTCTAGCCCTGGCAACAGAGTGAGACTCTGTCTCAAAAAAAACAGTGAGTTTTATACTTTCAAATAATTTCTTTTTGCTCATTAGCATCCATTCTTTCAGATTGAAGAATTCCCTTTAACAAACCTTGTAAGTCAAGCCTGGTGTTGATGAAATCCCTCAGGTTTTGTTTGTTTGGGAAAGTCTTTTTCCTTTAGAGTTGAAAGATAATTTTGCTGGATATAATATTCTGGGTTGAAAGTTTTTTTTCTTTTAGCACTTTGAATATGTCATGCCATTCCCTCCTGGCCTGTTAGTTTTCCACTGAAAAGTCTGCTGCAAGATATATTGGAGCTATTTCATGTTATTCACTTTTTTCTCTCTTTCTGCTAGAATCTTTCTTCTGTCTTTGACCTTTAAGAATTTGATTATTACATCCCTTGAGGTAGTCTTGTTTGGGTTGAATCTGTGTGGTGTCCTTTGACCGTCTTGTATCTGAATATCTATATCTTTCTCTAGGTTTGGAAAGTTTTCTGTTATTATTTCTTCTAATAAACTTTCTACCCTGATCTCTTTCTCAACACACTCTTTAAAGCCAATAACTCTTATATTTTCCCTTTTGAGGCTATATTCTAGATCTTGTAATCATGCCTCCCATGGCCACTGCAGCTGGTGTCACACTTGGTCACACCATAAGCCCACTGGCTCTGAGAGCAACACAGCATCAGGGATTGCCCAAGGACTGCAGAACTGTGGCCTCACTGCCACTGAAATTTATTCTGTGCTCCAGGCCACTTTAGTCAGCTGGTGGTGAAGCCAGCCAGGACTCAGTTCCTCCCTGCAGGGGACACAATTCCCAATGGCCCAGGGTTCATATAAATCCTCCCTCCATGAGCACCAGCAGAATTCTGCCCAGTGTTGTGTTCTGCTGTGACAGGCACCACTGAGTTCCTGTGCAAACTTCCTCACTTGCTTTATTCTCCCTCTTCCAAGCACACAGATTCCCCCCCATGCCGGGTGCCTGGGGGTCGGGAGGGGTGATGTAGGCAGTGTAGGACTGTTCTTTCTACCCTCTTCAATGCCTCTTTCCTTGTTATTATGTTAAAACTAGGTACTATGATCACTCACCTGATTTTTTGGTTGATTATAAAGGTGTTTTCTTGTGCAAATAGTTCAACTTGTTGTCGCTGTAGGAAGGATGGTCACACAGAACTTTTTCAGTTTGATGTAGCCCCGTTTGTCTATTTTTGTTTCTGTTGCCTGTGCCTTTGGTGTCATTTCCAAGAAATCATGACAAAATTTAATGTCAGAAAGCTTTTCTCTAAGTTTTCTTCTAGGAATTTTATAGTTTTAGGTCTCATGTTTAGATCTCTAAGCCATTTTGAGATAATTTTTTTTGTATATGGTGTAAGGTAAGGGCCCAACTTCATTCTTTTGTATGTGGATATTCAGTTTTCCCAAGACTATTTGTTGAAGACTGTCCTTTTCCCATTGAGTGAGCTTTGTACTCTTGTTGAAGATCATTTGATCATATACCCAAGGGTTTATTTCTGGGCTCTCTATTTT